GTCGGTATGATAGGTATTTGGTTGTATTAACTATCTGTATTATAGGTATGTGGTATTAAACTAAGTTCATCTGTGTTCAAACTCACACAATGATACTACTACTAGCGAGGTTAATAGTTTCAGATATTTATTCATAACATTAACAGCGCTAGGATTTCTGTCGATTTCATTTCAGCTTAACCGGCAATCCGGAAGAATACATGCACCGTACTAACTGCTAGGGCAGTTATTTTCTGCTTTGAATACTTCCCACTGTCAATTATGATTCCGTAACGTACCCCTTGCGCTACCTTTTGACCATTTGACGACTTTTCGCTTCGTAGCTGACACGGTACAACACTTTTCTTTCGCTTACTTCACACGGCCAGTCATTTTGTTTACAAAGAAATGGTGTGCTATGCGCCTGCGCTAGTAGAGGGAAATCCCTGAACAAAACGTTGGTCAGACAGGTAGAAATACCGCTGATTATCTTACAGCCAAATCCGATCATTATTTTCCATAAGGAGTTTCACTTGATATGTTTATGTAGTATTTGAAAAAAAGACACAAAAAAAATTACTTCAGCGTGATGCCCCTTTAAATCTTCAATAAGCATAATTATGAGAATAGTCATGGCGGCATTGAAAATATATATATAAACCTTATTACCGGTTATCTTGTAATACTTACCAATAATAATAATATACAACATTATTATTGTTTTTTATTTTAGGTCTAACACAAAAATTGTGAAATTATTGAATCGGTCAAGGCATCTCAGTTTTCATTCGAGTTTATAACACTAGACTGATGTTAGGTGTTTTTTGGCTAATTTCAAACGACATCAATTCACACGGAATTGTCATGTTGTTTTGATTTTACATAATGGACACTATTAGCCACAGCAAAAATAACGGAGCCAGCAATCGTGGTGACTCCTCCGAAATAAAACCCCGCGTTGTTGTCTCCCCTCGTGTCTTTAATCAAACCTGATAATGGAAAACAAAACAATCTTATTTCCAATCTCACAGCAAACAATAGTGAGGAGTGACCGTATTTCGTTATCTACCTCTATTGACGGTATTACTTCTATTGACCAATCAACATTATATACGGTAGGGTTCATGCATCTTTAACCCCAAGGTCTGATACAGATCCGTATTCTGAATCATAATTACAAGCTAGGAAATTCTGTTCCCCGTCCTTCAAGTCTTGTTACGTTAAAAACTTCCAAAAGTATTTAAAACAAAATTGAATTAGATATTAAAAGAGTTTAACAAAACAATAAGCTGTTCGAGTTTAAAGTGGAAACAAATCTGTAAAATATTGGAGTGATCTCCCTCCCCGTTGTTACCAACGTTTTACTCAATTTATCTCTTCTTTACCACATAATGTGAGGTGATGAAATGCAGTCGACATTATATATATATATATTAGAGATATTATATAAACATTATATAGATATTGTATAGTCATTATATAGCTATGATAGACATTTCATAGATTGTATATAGCTATGATATACATTATATAGATTCTATATAGATATGATATAGACATTTTATAGATTTTATATAGCTATGATAGACATTATATAGATTTTATATAGATATGATATAGACATTATATAGATTTTATATAGATATGATATAGACATTATATAGATTTTATATAGCTATGATAGACATTATATATATTTTATATAGATATGATATAGACATTATATAGATTTTATATAGATATGATATAGACATTATATAGATTTTATATAGATATGATATAGACATTATATAGGTGAAACTTGCATGTTTCAATATTCGCGCATAACAAAGGATAATCATTGCACAATGAAAACAAGTGTAGAGAAAAACAGCTGAAACAATAATCTGGACCATTACCTACCCGAAATTGGAGGACCAATGAATGCTCCTGCCCCTTGAAATAAGTTTAACATCCCAAATGCATCAGCAAGCTTATCGACACCAAGAATATCCGCAGTTACGACGGACTTTTGTGACATGATACCTCCAAACAAGAGGCCGAACGTGGATGACACCACGCAGAGTTGTATGAACGTAGACGTGGACGGGAGACAGATATAGACGAGTCCGACCAACACTAGTGTTAGATTGTAGGCCAGCACCCTGTACTGTTTAACTCGTCCAATGTCTAACACAGCACCCAGACACACTTTTCCCAGCCCGTCCGCCAGTATGGTTAGAGCGACGACATACGTGGTCTGGGAGTCAGTGATGGCTATCTGCTTGGCGTATAGCGGTATAAAGGCGTACGCCGAATGGGCAGCAATAGAGAACAGAAACAACGCTACACAAAAGGTAGCAAACCTCGGATCTGACAACATCTGTGATACTTTAGTTTTTGATCTCCTCAAACACATTGTACTGCATGGTACCTTACTAACACACGGTACCCTACAAACACATTCCTGATCGCATGTTGCTCTCTCTGACTGTTCTGCATCTGCAGCTTTTCCGTTTATTTCATCTTGCAACTGAGGGCGTAGGAATTGTTCCGTGACGTTTATTTCATCTGTTGATGTCTTCTGTCTGAAATAGAATAAAATCATAATAAGAAAATACTGTCCACCTTCAAATGGCTGGTACATTGATTATGATGTGTACATTTGATATAACCTAAGTATAGGGCACAGTTAATAGAGAAGACAACACTACAAAAGGAGAGACGGCATCAGGAACTGAGAAGACAACACTACAAAAGGAGAGACGGCATCAGGAACTGAGAAGACAACACTACAAAAGGAGAGACGGCATCAGAAACTGAGAAGACAACACAACAAACGGAGAGACGGCATCAGGAACTGAGAAAACAACACTACAAAAGGAGAGACGGCATCAGGAACTGAGAAGGTAACACTACAAAAGGAGAGACGGCATCGGGAACTGAGAAGAAAACACTACAAAAGGAGAGACGGCATCAGGAACTGAGAAGACAACACAACAAAAGGAAAGACGGCATAACAGCCCGTCGCCAGCCCGGATGATTTTATCGACTATAATACCGATCACACTCGTCAATGTTTTACATGTACTGAGTAAACACGTTTGATCTGTAGGTGTTTACATACTTAACTAGCTGACTTACCTTCTGCGAGTTTTCCTTTCAGGTGGTGGTGTGAATAAACTTCCACACACCATAATGTTTAGCGACGTTCCCGCTAACATTAGCATCGCGCCCAGAAATCCATAATAATCGAACAGAAATTCGATGAAGGTTGGAAAGAGGAAAGATCCAAAACTTGAAGTTGCAATGCCTACAGCCAATCCTCGTCTTCCGGTGAAGTATTTCCCGACGATAACTACGGCCGGGGAATACACTAGACTCATCCCTAGGCCTGCAGGAAATAGACGAATAGGGAAAGGGTCCATAACATGATAACAAGAATAAAAATTTATGTCAAAATGCAACATCAGTATGAAACAGTATGTTCTATAATTACAATTACCATACACAATGGGGTAATCACGTCTACAGGAAATGTGGATGACAAAAAAGAATAATGTTTAACAGACAAACCGTGAAGACAAACAAGAACTTGCGTTTTAGAAGAAGAAATCATGGGGATGAGTGATAGGGAACACTCAGTTCTCGAGGAAATAAAAGAATATATCTATATTAACAAAAAAGACTTAAATCACCATTTAAAAAACTTATCAGTATAACTTCAATCCAACAGAAAGGTTTTAGGTAAGGACAAAGTAGAATAAGTCTGTCTTAGACGATTTAGTCTAACGGAATCTCTAGTGTCAAACTGAGAGTGTTCATTTCCAGCGGAAACCTGTCGATACCAGTAGGAAACATAAGGGTCGAAGTCTGGAAGTGTCCAGTCCAGTAGGAAACATGAGGGTCGAAGTAGGGAAATGTCCAGTCCAATAGGAAACATGAGAGTCTACATCAGGAAATGTCCAGTCCAGTAGGAAACACGTGGGTCAAAGTAAGGAAATGTCAAGTCTAATAGGAAACATGAGAATCGAAGTCAGGAAATGTCCAGTTCAATAGGAAACATGAGAGTCGAAGTCATGAAATGTTCAGTCCAGTAGGAAACATGAGAGTCGAAGTCGGGAAATGTCCAGTCCAGTAGGAAACATGAGGGTCGAAGTCAGAAATGTCCAGTCCAATAGGAAACATGAGAGTCGAAGTCATGAAATGTTCAGTCCAGTAGGAAACATGAGGGTCGAAGTCATGAAATGTTCAGTCCAGTAGGAAACATGAGGGTCAAAGTCAGGAAATGTTCAGTCCAGTAGGAAACAGGAGGGTCGAAGTCATGAAATGTTCAGTCCAGTAGGAAACAGGAGGGTCAAAGTCAGGAAATGTTCAGTCCAGTAGGAAACATGAGGGTCGAAGTCATGAAATGTTCAGTCCAGTGGGAAATATGAGGGTCGAAGTCAGGAAATGTCCAGTCCAGTAGGAAAAATGAGTGTCGAGGTCAGGAAATGTCGAGTCCAGTAGGAAACATGAGGGTCGAAGTCATGAAATGTCCAGTCCAGGAGGAAACATGAGGGTCGAAGTCATAAAATGTCCAGTCCAGGAGGAAACATGAGAGTCTAAGTCAGGAAATGTCCAGTCCATGAGGAAACATGAGAGTCTAAGTCAGGAAATGTTCAGTCCAGTAGGAAACATGAGAGTCGAAGTCAGGAAATGTCCAGTCCAGTAGGAAACATGAGAGTCTAAGTCAGGAAATGTCAAGTCCAGTAGGAAACATGAGAGTCGAAGTCAGGAAATGTCCAGTCCAGTAGGAAACATGAGAGTCGAAGTCAGGAAATGTTCAGTCCTAGCAAAACCAATTCTCCATATCCAGAGGTTACGGATGCGAGTGTAACCCCGGTATATCGAGGATATGAGTGTAACCCCTGTATATCAAGAATGTGAGCGGAACCACTGTATATCGAGGATGTGAGTATTACCTTTATATATCGAGGTTGAGGGCTAAACCCCTGGATATCGGTGATAAGGGCGTAACCTCTGAATATCGATGATGTGAGGGTAACCCCTGTGTATCGAGGATGTGAGCGTAACCCCTGTATATCGAGGATGTGAGCGTAGCCCCTGGATATCGAGGATGTGGGCGTAGCCCCTGGATATCGAGGTTGTGAGCGTAACCCCTGGATATCGATGATGTGAGCATAACCCCTGGATATCGAGGATGTGAGGGTACCCCTGTATATCGAGGATGTGAGGGAAACGCCTGTATATCGAGGATGTGAGGATACCCCTGTATATCGAGGATGTAGTGTTACTCTGTATATCGAGGATGTGGGCGTAACCCCTGTATATCGAGGATGTGAGCGTAACCCCTGTATATCGAGGATGTGAGTGTGACCCCTAAATATCGAGGATGTGGGCGTTACCCCTGTATATCGAGGATGTTGGCGTAACCCCTGTATATCGAGGTTGTGGGCGTAACCCCTGTATATCGAGGATGTGGGCGTTACCCCTGAATATCGAGGATGTTGGCGTAACCCCTGGATATCGAGGATGTGGGCGTAACCCCTGTATATCGAGGATGTGGGCGTAACCCCTGTATGTCGAGGATGTAGCGTTACTCTGTATATCGAGGATGTAGCGTTACCCCTGTATATCGAGGATGTGGGCGTAACCCCTGTATACCGAGGATGTAGCGTTACTCTGTATATCGAGGATGTGAGTGTAACCCCTGTATATCGAGGATGTAGCGTTACTCTGTCTATCGAGGATGTGAGTGTAACCCCTGTATGTCGAGGATGAGCACAGTCATGTTAGAAACGAAGCAAACATATTTGATAAAACTCGCGCACGTTACCAACAAATAGTAATGTAATGTCTACTTACCTTTCGTAATTATGTTTCCTATATCACACAAGCACTGAATGTGTCATCCCACCCAGGTAGGTCGTGACTACAGTCATATTGTGCATAATTAAGATGAAACACGTTGCACCTTTTGTCTTTATGTTTCATTGTAATGCTTACCTTCAATAATGGCAAAACTGATGAAGACAAGCGTCATATTGTTGGCAAATCCTGTCAAGACCATGCCAAGACCCATGAGGACTGCTCCCGCCATGACGATGGGGCGAAACGAAAATTTGTTTGTCAGCATACTGCACAGAGGCCCTGAGACATTTCAACAAACAACATCTGAATGATGTAACGCAACATTATCATTGATGACACACTACCGAAATTATGAGTTCATTAAATATCAGGAGATGGTATATTAGTTGTTTATGTATAACACTTCCAACCGGTTATTATCGGAAGAATGCATGCTTTTTGTAAGTAATGTCATTTGAATGTTTTAAGAAATCATTGACATTTTTCACGAAATGCACCGTAGTGATTCTGAGGATAGGGAATGTACATCATTGATGTGATCGATTTTTATTTTAAATTTTGGTTAAAATATATTTCAGCATTTTTCCATGCAGGGATGGGGATGGGAAACAATTACAGTAGTTCAATTAACATCAAGTGCAAAGTGTAGCAGTAATGTCGTCATGAAATAGCCTGCATGTGGTTGTGATGATTCAAATACATAAATAATAATGATGTTTGAAAATAGATTATCTCTCTCATTTAATCACCGTCTAATGTCTTTGTTGATGATTTGTTTATTAAAATACAATACATGTAACTTGTTTTTGTTCAATATTCTATAATAAAGTCTATCATTTTGACTCGTTGACACTTGGCAGTCCCGTCTCTGTGCTTAAACATCGCCAAAAAGTGCTACTTCACATCTCTAGATCGCGAAACAATAACAAATGTATAATCAATTTTCGAATGTTAGGTCATCATCACTAAAAATCAGACCACATATATAATCCGTTATTCGGTATTGTTAATACATAAGAGGCAGTTTGGTCCTCGTGTATTGTATAGATATTATTGGCTGCACTGTCATACAAGTTTAGGTCTGTAGGTTATCAAACAAAAAACAAACCCTTCTTTTTTCAAAATGCCGACAGTATTTTGTTTTTTTTGTGACAAAAAAACATATCACAATAGGATCAAATAGAGTGTCCTGCTATAATAGCAGATTATGACATGCCAGCGTGTTGACACTTACAATGACACTTTAGTTGGCCCGTCATCCGTTGGACACCGTTCATATCACCTCAGCTGTTGTGGTGGACGTTAAGCTGCTTCCCGAACAAATCAAACAAATCCTATGCTGGTCACCTACACAATTTTCCAGATTTGATGGGATACGTCACGTGGACGCTTCATTAACTTTCCACGATCGTAATGTGCACGTGACAAACTGGGACGGCTTGCTACAAAGCTGTCCGACAAACGGGACGATTACGACTTTTCCTACTGCGAACTTTCCCTTTCTTGATAACAGTATCCCTGCTTCCAATAACAACGGTGTCTTCATGTCGCATTCAATATTTATACGACGGGTGTCGTCGTCAATGAACACAGGACGCTTTCCCTTTCTAATAACCTCGAGGTTCTCCTTGTAAGTCTTTCATTTGTTCACATTTTGCATTAGTTGTATTATGAATGATGGTTTTATTGACACTTTGGTATCCTTTTGTTATTATAACTGAAAAACTTTCAGGTACATGTACCAGTCAGGAACACCATATTTTTCTCTGTCTATTGTTGGTGTCCTTTAAAACCAATTTTGAGTTCAAATTGTGTTCTGAGAATTGACAATTTAGTTCAATTTCGCTGTTTTACTTTTTTACTTTAGGTATCAAAAGCCTACGCGTATTTCACCCTATTAACCAGAAAGGTTACACAGGGAACAGCGTAGACGCGAAAGTGACGATGAAAATTCCTGTTTATAAGTCAGTTTTGTCTAGAATATACGTAGACCAGTACGGTACTGTTCCCAGGATGTGATTATAACTGTCTATAAGTCACGTTTGTCTGGAATAAACCTAAATCATGATCCTTGAGATATCAAGGTTGATGATTATTGATTATTGTTTGCAATCCAAGTACAGAGGTTGGCAAAACTCCTTGATATGTTAGTGTATCAGGTCCCTAACCCTAACCCTAACCCTAAATATGTTAGTTTATCTGGTCCCTAACCCTAACCCTTAATATGCTAGTGTATCAGGTCCCTAACTCTAACCCTAATCCTAACCCTTAATATGTTAGTTTATCAGGTCCCTAACCCTAATCATAACCCTTAATATGTTAGTTTATCAGGTGGTGATGACTTCTGGTTATGCATCAAGTTTACCTAGAATTAAACGTAGGCCACCCGGTAAGGTTGTTACCCAGGCGGTGACAATCGCCGACTGATGGAACTTCTCATCAAACTTTAGGAAAAAGATTCCCGACGATTTCTCTATTCCAACTAGTAGAAAAAAAGAGAAGATTAAATCAATAAAACACATTTAAAGAGAGAGATTTTAAATTATTTTTATACTCTTTTAATAGCAACAATAAGGAATTAATGCAGGGTATACACTCTAATAGTATACACGAACTTTTAGTAATCTAACTGAAAAATTGCAATAAATGTTTCTTTATATATTAGCTGCATCTTACGATCAGTGATCTGAGTTCTAACATCATCCTCGTGTTCACTGAATCCACTATCAATATTTTTATCAATAATCATGCCATATTCGCACGAGATGCAAAGTGTGGCAAATACACTTACCCCTTATACAAACCTTACCCCTAATACAAACCTTACCCCTAATACAAACCTTACCCCTAATACAAACCTTACCCCTTATACAAACCTTACCCCTAATACAAACCTTACCCCTGATACAATCCTTACCCCTAATACAAACCTTACCCCTTATACAAACCTTACCCCTAATACAAACCTTACCCCTTATACAAACCTTACCCCTGATACAAACCTTACCCCTAAACCTTTCCCCTTATACATACCTCACCCCTTATACAAACCTTACCCCTTATACAAACCTTACCCCAACCTTACCCCAACCTTACCCCTTATACAAATCTTACCCCTAAACCTTTCCCCTAATACAAACCTTACCCCTAATACAAACCTTACCCCTAAACCTTTCCCCTTATACATACCTCACCCCTTATACAAACCTTTTTCCCCTACTACAAACCTTACCCCTAATACAAACCTTACCCCTAATACAAACCTTACCCCTAATACAAACCTCACCCCTAATACAAACCTTACCCCTAATACAAATTTTACCCTAATACAAACCTCACCCCTGATACAAACCCCACCCCTGATACAAACATCACCCCTAATACAAACCTCACCCCTGATACAAACATCACCCCTAATACAAACCAACCATTGATACAGACACTATCTAGTATACCGACCTTAACCCTAATGCAAACATGATATAGGAAATTGATATACCATTTTCATCCTTCTTATTCTATAACCATAAGTCATAAAATCATCGTATACTTACATAAAATGATATGTATCACCAGACTGCCAAAGACGATTACCCACCCCCATCCTCCATCAGGGGGAGACAATTCATCCTCGTCTTGAGAATCATCACAAGAATTGTCTTTCCTATTTGTGCTATGTACAATGGTACGCTGTGAATCAGATTCATTATATAAGAGTTCATCTGTTTGTTCCCCTGGCACCGGGTTCGCAGTTTCGGAAAAGATGGTGGTTTGCATGTTTTCTTACTGGAAAGTGAAACAAACAAAAATAAACAAAGATACCACTTTATGTAAACATCAGCTATTGATATACAGTCGAACCTCGTTATCTCGAAGTCGTTGATCGTTGGGAGTTATCCGAGTATTCGAGTTAAGCTAGTTCCTATGTTTGGCATAAAGCTTAGTAAAGTATTTGGTCCAATATGAGGCTATATATATATCATTGATTTCTCTAACAATCAACGTATTTAAACAGTCGATAAATGACAAAAAAGATAACTATATAAAATAAAAAATAACAACTCATTCATAATCATATTCATTAATTAATGTTACAATAAACACGCATGCTGTCTCCGATCTCGTGCTATGCCGATAGAAATTTCAATGCGGAAATGAAAGTGCGCAAGTCTTTACACAAATCACTGTGTTGGAGCGTACACGTTGCGGATTGCTCAGTTGTTTTCGACATTCCGAAATGGGTATGAGTTAATCAGGAAACATATCGACATTTATAGACCCCAATGACACTTGACATCTTCTCAACACGACGTACTCAACAATAATTATCGTATTGTTCCTATAATCTCTTAATTAATTATCAGTGCCATACAAGCTCCTGTAAAAACATAAACCGACGGGGTGTTCTCGTTTCCCCCACTTTTTATATAACAAAGGAAAACGAGAACAAGCCAAACCGACGAACCAGTCCTCGGTTGTGATTTTTACTGTGGGAGCTTATTTACGCATGACCGCACACTGTGACCATTTTCAGGTTAGAAAGTGTCGGCAGCTTTGGTGTAAATATAGTGCCATTCAAATTGTTTAATGGGCTCGCAGTGAGTACTAATTGTTGTTAATCAACATTGAAGACGTTTGTACAGTCAAACACATTTTAATGGCACAAGTTTAATCGAAGTAATAATGACCGAGCGTAAGCTGCTCAATTAGAACGGTGTTTAACGTAGCACTGCGTCTTATATGTATCAAATAATTAAAGAATATATGATATACTTGTGAATCTTAAGAAACTTCTATATTTTTTATGTAGGATTTACGTTGTTGGGACCGATGTTTTTCGAGTTTTCATAGTTCGAGTTATCAGATTTGTTATTACTAAGATTAAGAAGAGTTTTGGCCGGGACCGATGAAATAGTTCGAGTTAAACGGGGTCTTCGAGTTATACGAGTTCGAGATAGCGAGGTTCGACTTTAATAAACAATTTCATCAATTATAGAACCTCGTCACAAACGTCAAATATTGATACAATTAATTATAGAACCTCGTCACAAACATCAAATAATGATACAATCAATCATAGAACCTCGTCACAAACATCAAATATTGATACAATTAATTATAGCACCTCGTCACAAACATCAAATATTGATATAATTAATTATAGAACCTCGTCACAAACATCAAATATTGATACAATTAACTATAGCACCTCGTCACAAACATCAAATATTGATATAATTAACAATTACATTAACTATAGAACCTCGTCATATCCACATGACAAATGTTCACCTCGTCTTCACGTCGAGTATTCTACCACTTCACATTCACATCTACTATTAATGTTTTTAAATTGGTAGAATGTACTAATATATAAATGAAAATGTTGCCTTTGATAATTATCAATTGTATATATAACGAGGATATCGCATACATAGAGTATTATAGGAGCTAGAACGATTTATAAAACAATGTCCCATATATAGTACCAATCATGGGTTTTTAACTAGTATCAATTGCTTTATGAAGTAGTGCATTGCAACTAATGTATTACGGATAGGAGAAGACTAATATAGGCTAAGCCTGTTGTCTTATCCTTTTGTGCAATTTTTTGTTCAATAAAATTTGTTGAAAATCAAAAAAACCCACTAATGTGTGTCATACTTAGATCGTGTACAACAATGTATCAGACAATGAGTTATGCATAATATAACAAATTATTTCTAGCATGTATTGGTTTATAACTGTATAATTGGACAATAGACTATGCGCGTGCATGTATGAATTCCCAACAGATTAACGTTCTTCCAAAAGAGATTCCCCGCCCCTCAGTCAAATGTCAACCAGCGGGCTGTCTCATTGTTGTCGAATGAACATGTTATTTCTGTGTGTATTGAACGGTTTGCTTGCGGACAAATACACCAAGTTTCGAATTAACCTTTGGGTTAGGGTTAGGAATTAACCGTTGGGTCTACGTTAACCCTGTCCAGAGCACGGTCAGAATGTTCCACCGCACTTATTGCTATTAGAAATAGTGATTATAAATCTGCCAAATGCTAATCTCATGAGTTCACGAGCAATGTCGACCGATCGAAATAAGCATCTGGTATAAAGTGTAACGGCAGTGTTAATTGTTTATCGTCTGTCGACCAAATGACGACTGATAATGATAAATTCCAAAGATAATAAAGTATTCAGGTTCAATAGACAAAACAAGGGACAACAACTGCCAACAGGGACAGGAATGATGAAGTATCAGGGTATCATGTTAGGAACAGTTGCACGAACAGAAGAACAGTCTAATTCAAACAGAATGTGTCGTTTAGTCATCAGTTTCCGCGCGTTATGTATTTCCGCGCAGCCATTTTATTAAGCTATATCTCGTAACTACTTGAACTGCTGGACACAACACAAGGATGTTTTAGACGTTCGGCAATCGTCTGTAAACTGACACAAAAATTACCGGAAGTTCGTCCGGAAAACATAAGAATTAATCACTGATTAAAAAACACACATAAATATGCATTTTATCTTGCTCAAAATGAACCCATATCTGAAAAACGGTGATATATTTTATTCATGAACCAGTTGTTATTGTAGTCTGACAAACGTTCGAAAATGTCGTATGCAAATGAGGCCACATCTCCACGCCGATTTTTTTCCACTTCTGAAGTGCCAATGAGACATTCTTATATGGATAAACAGTATTTTCTATGAAACGTAAACCTTGTAATGCAATGAACTTCCAATTTTCACGAATTTTAAACAGAACAAAATGAGAACTAACTTACCATAAACAAAAACCGATATAAGACTGCAGAAAAAAATAATAACAGATTCTATATCATAACTAAACAAATAAAACAAATAAATTTATAAAATTACACGAATTAGTTCAATTTGACATCTTGAAAAATCCATAAAAAATGTGAAATTAAATTTAATTTGACGATCAGAGATATTTTTTGTATTCCAAACGAAGCTTTTTGTTTGTGCACGTCACTGTAGAGAATTTCTTTTTAGTGTATTCGAGTTATCTTTCTTTGAACATTAAATCAAAATAGACACACGGAAACATATGACGGATACTTCCGACGGGAGAAATTTGTTAAAAATTGTTTATTCTGATCTTTTTAAAATACAGTTTTATGTTGCTATTTTTTTGTTTTCTTTAGTAGATTGTATACATGTTTATGACATTCTTCCGTAATTTCAACAGTTTTCTGCCGATTTGAGTACGAAATCGCGGATGCTTTTTAAGTGCGCGGAAACCGGTAACCCGAGGATATTTTACTAAGTGGAATAGATATAATCAGCATATATTGTACGTTATGGCGGAAAATATAACTCGGGATGCGAAAATGTTAAAAAAAAAACAATCAACCCAGGCCGCAATCGGCCTTCATCAATTATTGTTTATTATTCATCCATGTTATATACTCTACCATAGCATTCCCGCATATGTTGATTATTTTTTTAAATATGTAAATATAAGTGTTTTATACAAATATAAATGTTTTATACAAATATACGTGTTTTATACAAATATAAGTGTTTTATACAAATATAAGTGTTTTATCCTTCCGGTCTTGAGAGGACGCGTCCCGCGGCTTAAAGAAATTGTCCACTGGATGAAAAGTTCTGTCCACCGTTACCTCGTTTTTGCCGTCAATTATAATTCCGGGATTTGGAAGATTGTATGTTTTGAGTCCGAATGTGTGGGTCGCGAAAATTCTGATGCTGTACACTCTGAAGTTCCTTCAACTTGTTTTTAAGTCGTCGAATTTTGTAGTGTTGCTGTTTCAGTTCGTGATCGCTTCCCGAAATTGTTGTCTTTAGATTTGATATGTGGCGTTGGGTTTGTTCATTTTCCTGTCTTGTTGTTTGTTATTGACTGATTGTCTCGTCTTTGCTTTTCATAATTTTCTTCCTGTTGTCTAAAGCTTTTTCAAGTTCTTTAATTTGAGTTACGTAGTTGTTTACATTCGATTCTTTGATACGTCCACATTCTTCTTTCAAGTTATTGTTTTCGTCCTGTAGTTTGTCGCACTTTTTTGAAACAGCCGACATGGTTAATATAGCACAAGAGGGTTTGCTAAGAAAAGAACAGAGTTGCAATTGCAGGTAAACTTCCTTTGGTATATTTTTTAAGATCATCGTCTGAAATTTCATAAAATGGTAAAACTGATTGTACCTGTTTGTTCTTCTCGGTATTTCCGGGACGTTCGGAATATCGCCGCCGTTTCGAGCTGGATTTTGACTTTTTTAATTGGTGTGGTCAAGGTCGCAGACTCGCTGTCCGGAGAGTCATGGACAGGAATAGGATGTTGAGCCGATTTTCGACGCTGTATGGTCCCGGGTAAAGATCCTTTAGTACAAATAGTCGCTGTACCACGTCTGGTCCTTATAAAGCCAGGGACGTACAATGTATATATATTGTCCCTGATAAAACACACTCGTGAAAAATGTCCAATATTTCCGCAGGAAAAACAGAAACAACTTTTTGCGGGACATGATATCAGATGATTGGTGCTGAAGTGGCCACCGCATCTATAACATGATACCATCCCGAAAGTTACTGTTATACACAACGTTATTCTGGCTGATTCCAAACTATGTCGAACACAGTCTTGGTTGGGTTCCAGATCCGTGTGATTCCAAATGAAACTGTAGGTCCGAGTTTTCGTTCGTGAATTGTCTCTTACTCGGGGATACTCGCTTAGTAGTGTAGGTTCGGGGATCTTGTAAGTAACTTGACTTACACAAATGAATGAGGCAAATTACTC